ATCAAATGAATGATCAAAATTTTTAGATCCTTAGTAACTTGGTGACAGGGCTCATAACTCATTGCTGCCATCTTGTGGTAAGCAACGACAATAGCAGATTCACAACCTTTTTTTTTCTGAATCCAAGAGTATTAAGAAGTTGTCCTCCTTCGCTGTCCCCACCACCCATGCTGGAGGGCATTATACCCCTCTTGGTATACGGCATGGTGACCTTAGGTTCATGTGCAGCTGCTATTCTACTGGCAATGCTTTTCTATGTAGAATGGCTCACAGATTATGCAGAGAAACAGACGGACCACAACCTGTGATTGTAGATCTACAAAGTGCTCCTACATGGGAAGTGGACTCATAAAATGAACAATGAGTGATACAAGGCAGACACAAGACAGATGTACAGTACCCTGGAAAAGTATTTGCCCCCTCCTGATTTCCTCTGTTTTTGCATATTTGTTACTGTAAATGGTTTCAGATCCTCATACATACAACAATTGTTACATTTAAGACAATAGAGAACAAGAGGAAACACAAGGCACAGTTTTGAAATGATCTCTGCATTTATTTAAGGAGAAAAGTTTAGCACCTATATACATTTGAAAAAGTAGTTACTGGTTGTGCTACCTTTAGCAGCAACAACAGCAACCAAACATTTCCTATTCCTAGAAATCAGTCTTACATTGCTGTGGGGAATTTTGGCCCACTTATCTATAAGCAATTGTTTTAATCCAGCCACAGTGGATATATACACACTATATGGACAAAAGTATTGAGTCACCCCTCCTAATTATTGAGTTCAGGTGTTTCAGCCACACCATTGCTAACAAAGAGATAAAAATTAAGCTCATAGCCTTGCAGTCTCAATAGAAAAACACTGGCAGTAGAATGGGCCGTACTAATGGGCTCAGTGGCTTTTAACATGGCACTGTCATAGGATGCCACCTTTGTCACAAGTGCACAGTACTTATTTTCTGTTGAATCACTCACTAAAGAGCCCCACATTGCCTCTGGAAGCATCATCAGCTGTGCATCAGGAGCTTCATGAAATAGGTTTATGTGGCCGAGCAACTACACACAAGCCTAAAATCAAAATGCACAATGCCAAGCGTCGGGGCAGAGTGGTGCAAAGCACGCCACCACTGGACTCTGGAGCGGTGGAAACAAATTCTGTGGATTGAATCATGCTTTTATTTCCGGCAGTCTGATGGAAGAGTCTGGCTTTGGTGAATGCCAGGAGAACGTTACCTGCCTGACTGCATTGTACCAAGTGGAAAGTTTGGTGGAGGAGGGATAATGCTATGAGGTTGTATTTCAGAAGTTGGCGTAGCTCCTTAGTTCCAGTGAAGGGAAATTTTAATCTCTTCAGCATTCCAAGACATTTTTGACAATTGTATGTTTCCAACTTTGTGGGAACAGTTTGGGGAAGACCCTGTTCTGTTCCAGCATCATTGTGCCCCAGTGCACAAAGCAAGGTCCATCAAGGCATGGCTGGGTGAGTCTGTTGCAGAAGAACTTGATTGAGCTGCACAGAGCCCGACCTCAACCCCATTAAACACCTTTAGGATGAACTAGAACGGAGATTGTGAGCCAGGCCCTCTCATCCATCAGTGTCTGTCCTCACAAATGCTCTTCAGGATGAATGGGCAAAAGTTCCCTCAGATATATAACAGCTTCCCAGGAGAGTGGAAGCTGTTATAAGAAGACAGAGAAAAAGCAGACAAAGCTCACCTCAAATCCACTTCTCATCCATAGAAATTCGTAGAACAGTTGAAGTTAAATATTTTTTGGCACGTATTTACCAAAATGAGCTTGGTGACAGTGTAGTGGTGACAGTCTAGTGCTAGTTAGCCTAGCATCTACAGTTGTACAGTAGCACATGTCAGACTTCAAACATGTCTTGGCTGATCGACTATGTCTGGGCTAAGTGATAAATCATGTTAATTTGGATTTTGCTGAACTGTTCCTTTAATGGAGTATAATCTTTGTTTTGTTCATGCTGTAGGCCTGTCCTGAGAGGTCACTGAACATCGTTTCAAAAAAAGGAACAAGACGTGAATTGACTGATCAGGTTTTCTCTTGCCCATTTATTTGTGCAGAGCACGTTAAGTACAGCTTTAGATTGAGGGGGGAACAGAAAGAGAGGACAAGGAAAATAAAGTTCACATTTTCAGTAATACTGATACAGCAGACAGGCAAACACAGAGCTGTATCCAAACCACTTTCTCACAGAGGACAGGATTATTATAACACCGCACATTCACTACTGTACACAGAGGTTAGCTTCGGAACAACATGACATCCTTAAGATCGAAGATAGTTCAGTCCACAAAAGGGGGAGAGGAGGACGTACAATCCCAAATGGAGGGGTCTCTTCCAATTTTCAGTAGTTGGTCCTTCAGCAATTAAAACTGAGCAAACTTGTCTGTTGAAGTCCTTCGCACTGAGGCATGTAGACAGAGACAAATGGGCTAAATGGGAACTGGTGGGTAGAGCCAAAAAAAACAGCAGTCTGTTTCTCCACTGGTTTACTATGATATAACTGAAAAAAAGGTTGAACAGCAATGGGCATGTAGGTACTGTAAGTTAAAGCACATATCTACTGTTAACTGTATGTCTATAGAGTCATTCAAGTGCAAATATACTGAGAGAGAAAGGGCAGATAAGATTTGTGGCTGTACAACACAGAGTCATTTCCTCTGGCCTATGTACCACTTACAGTCCTACACACTCCACACAAAGCGATCAGAATGTTTCAGAGGTCAGTTTTTTTATTTTTATGAGGTTTGACACACTGTCTGTCAGTGAAGATGATGATATGCAGACCTGCGCTAAATGATATGTGACATTAAATTAGAAGACACCTATGGCAAAAAGAAGTAATGCAGTTTTAACATTATTCAACATCAGTCTGTCACATTCCCTGACAAAAGAGGCAAAGCCTACCGTAATGTGGACATACACGCACACAAATGCATACAGTACTGTGCAAACATCAGAGACCACCCTTTCATTTATTTAAGCCATTAAGTTGCTAGTTTTTCAGGAGATATGTCTGAGGAGATTAGATATAATCATCTTGCATATGGAAGAGAAAAGTATAAAAGTAAAAAAAAATAGGAGCTTCCAAAACTGGTGTCCAGAAAGGTTCAAATATTTGGAAAAAACTGGACTCGTAACAACCGTGCAAGACCTGATAGACCACAACTGTAACCATTAGACAAACAGTACTTACAGCTTTCATCTTCGAGAGAGAGGAGAAAATCAACCTCCACTCTTACTTCAGATCTGAAAAAATCCACAGGTGTTTCTGTCCTTCCTTCCACTGTGAGAAGATAACTCAACACTATGAGTCTGAAAGGATGTGTAGCTGTCAAGAAGCTGTTACTGAGAAAAGGAAATAGACAAAAAAGAAGATAATTTGCTAATGAAACAAAGCAGCAGCTGATGTTCTCAGAGCTGACCACTCCAGCGTCCAGACCTCAACATCAATGAATGTGCTTGAGATTATGAGGGTTGTGAGACACAGAAAGTTCAACCAACTTCTTAGACTCAACTTTGGAGGTGTGGAAAAATATCCCTGCAAAAAAAGCTGAAAGTGAGACTCATGAAGAGAATAAAAGCTGTAATAAAGTGTGGACACAGTAAATACTGAAATATATATATATTATATATATATTATACTTTTGTCTTGAACACATTTACGTTTTTTTCCCTGAAAGACACAAGTAATGGCTCTTTTGAATTGAAATTAAATAAATGAGTGGTCTCTGACTTTTGCACAGTCCTGTATACAGAGACATGCACACACACAAGAAAAAAATAAAAAAAACACAGTTCAATGCAATGCAGTCCAGTGCTGTCCAGTTGTGCACAGCAAAGATTATTACCTTTTCACCAGAATGTATTTATCACTTCCTCGTCAGTGAATATTAGGGGTGTGACAGTATCCTGCTACATCAATATCACAATTTAAGAGACATATTTACTTAAATACTATATTGTAAAATATCACAGAACCTATTTTATATTAGATATTACCCAGTTTAAGAAATATTGTATAAATATTGTAGACAAACATTTTGAGATAATAGTCAGTCTATCTAAATGAATTCAGTTGTACATATTCTACTGAATTATATGTCCCTCTATTTAAACTCATGTCTATGTAGACCAGTGTTTTATACCTTCTTTATTCAGGCCAACCAACTGGAACAAATTTATATTTACAAGGCTGCCACATTGTGATAATTTTATACTGTCCTTGCATGGATATCAGCTAGAACTCCAAATATGGACTATTAATGGAGAATCAGGATGCAAATCACAAAAATGGGGAAAAACGATCAAATAGGATTGGTAAGTTGGTAGTCAGGCTTGTGGTTCAATTTCAATATTGCCAAAATTTTTTTTTCTTCAAGTAGCAATCACTAACCCATCGAGATCAGTTTGATTTTGCTAAATACACACTGTATTTTTTAAAAAAGGGCAATATTGTAACAAAAATGCCACAGTTAATTTAGTGTACAGCAGAATATGGAAGCTTTTATAACTCAGCTGAGTTTGTCAGAGTCACTCAGTCGTGTATATATTAGCTAACAGTAGCTTATCCTTTTTTATTGTTCAGTAGTTCCTATGATATGGAGAAACCGTTTCTCTTAAGATTCTAATTTTGTAAACAGAATATTATTAAATAGTACATTCCATACATACATACAGTACATCAGTACAGTAGTCAGTAGAAACCGGGAGAAAACTTGACTGCTAGTGTCTATTTCACAGATTCAGTTAAATGCTTTGCCAAAAATAGGGCGACAGGCAGCTTTCTGAACACCAAAGAGCATGTAACGTGATAAGCAGTATTTTCTAAATGCATGAACGCTAGACTTTCATTCTTACTGTGCTTTTTGTCCCCAGTGCTAAATATTATACAAAGTCCAAAGCACTCATCATACCCTACAGCACTGCACTGAAGTGCTTTTCGGCTTCACTGGGCTTTTTCTGTTGTCTTTTGTAGGTGACAATGACGCTAAATTAACCTTTGTCCTTTGCTCTCCAGTCCTGGAAAGGCTCCTGCTGAGTATCAGTAAGGCTACACTTCAGTTTCATCTCAGACCTGCATATTGATTCACAGCTTCAACTAACACCACTATCTGCAACACGAAAGCCGCTTCTATTTTGCAGTTGTTCAGGTACCAAAAACAAAGGAAAACTGCGCATCCTTAGCTGGATGCCTGCATCACAACGCAACTGAACTAGCTACAAAAAGGGAGAGGAAATACTGTTTTTGATCATTTTAAAAATAGATATGTCAGCTATACCTATCCGTAAGCATGCCCCAAAAAAGGCTTGGTGCCTTTTTTGATAGTGGCTTACTGAAAACAGCTGTTTTATCACATATTCACCAGTTACAGAGTCATTAGTCTGACACTCAGGTACACTGTACAGATGAAGACTGCAGTGTCTATAGTAAATGGAGCAGGATCCGGGATGGGGAGGAGAGCAGGAATTTGTGTTCGGAGGATGGAGTTGGGTATCACATGCTGACTGGTTGTGTCATTGACAGCTGTAGGAAGGGGCTTTCTAATGTTACTCTTTGTAATGAGTCTTAGTACAGAGCTTTCTGTCCTTGGCTTTCAAATTCCGACCAGGCATCGTTTAGTTCCATAAAAATCATCTTGGCATATTGTTCATAGGGCTCTCCAGTGGCCTTGAGAGGGAAGAAAAGAAAAATATGCACATACATTTTTGCATATACATTTTTATACGTTTATACAGCAAATGTTTAAAACTGACTTTTTAGTAGACTGAACTGTAAAGTGCATATCGTCTCTGTCAAACTGAATTCATATCATCACTGTTGGAAACAAAACCTTGTATTTCTCTCAATTTTTGTTTTTAATTTATTTGTGTGTCAACATTTTATGATGAATGGACCAACAGAAGTGGTATAAATGACTAAAATCTTGTTCCATGAACCTGAAAGTTAAGAAGGTTTTTTTCTCCTCCTGTAAAGTTATTTTTGGAGATACAAGGTTCTGTTTCAACAGTGATGATAAGCATTCAGTTTTAGATTTTGTTAATATTTTAACAGAATATTATACTACTTTGAATATTACACCCCTCCCCCACCCCCGTGTTTGGTTAACATATCTACGTGAAATAGCTATTTATATATTTGTTTGTTTGTCTGTTTGTTTGTTGCATGTCACTTTTCTTTGACCAGGTTAGGCAATTTATAACGATTAATACATTCTAGAAAAACTATTAACAACAAACCTAAAGCAAAATTGTAACACAGTAAGTTCTGAGCTCAGATTGTGATGGCTGAGTATAACTCAATATCGACACGTCGCATTTTAAAAAACTCCACCTTGTTCACTTGTAACCAGCAACAGACGCCAGAATATTTAGACATTTAATGGCACAATTTTTCATCACAGAATATAAATAAACTTCCTGGTTACTATCAGTAACCAGCAATGTCTAAAAAGCTAATAATAAATATCAGTAATGAAACAGGGATGCATTAAATGCAATAATGCCATGAATTTTGGGCTGTACTAAGAGATACTGGCGTTGGGGCTATGAACGGAACACAATAATACCAATATGACTGTTTTATTTCTGAAATAAAAGATTTTTGGATGCTTAGGAACCATCATAGTGTCCTTAAAGCATGCACAGAGACCCTCTCACCTTGTCTGGATGGACAACCAGCACAGCCTTCCTGTAGACCTTTTTCACCTGTTCAGGTGTGACCAGGTCAGCCATGCCCACCGGCTTCCAGCGGGTTTCTCCCTCCCATAGCACCGTGTGCATGGTGGAGAGCAGCGCACGGATATTCCGCTCTTTCCCCTCAATCCAGTCCAGGATCTACCACACACACAACTTTGGAGCTTAACTATAAGCGTATTCAAGCTCTACTCACTTACTCAACACCTGGGCTGTCATGGTAATGACTGTGGGTAGCAATTATATCTAATCTGGGTATCTATTATATCCAATCCTGGATTAAAATGAAACCTTTAACAAGCATCATGGATTAAAATGATTTATTCTCCAGGACTGTCTGTAATATTGATGTAAAGCACAAGCTCAGTGCTACCTGACTTAATGATGCTTTTTGTTGTGTTTTTGGTCATTTTTTTTACCTTGAGTTTCTCTGGGTCCATCTCTTTTGCCATCTCTTCTTTTCTCATCTCTGCTATTGTCTTTGGGCCTTTCTTTTCCTTACTGCCTGTGAAGCCTTGTCCAGAGAGCAGGTCATCAAAGTTAGCGTCTGTGGCCTTCGGCTTGGCTCCTGGAAGAAACAAAAGACTATAACAGGTTATGCTACGTGATTTACTGATTGATTTTCAATTGAAGGAAATGATTCAGTTAAAATAGCTCTCTACATGGAACATGTCATGTGCTGGCATTGTATTTTCTATTAATATTCTAAAATATATGTGTGAAATGCTTTCAAATGTGGTACTGAAGTTTGAAACATGTATTACTTAAGGTTAGTATGTGTGTAATATAAAGTATGGCCTCTTTTTAGCCAGTGTAGTCAATGTGAACAGACTGTACTCAGAATATCAGAGTGTCTGTCAGAACAATTTGTCTTGTGCTACTGACCCATGTTAGGTTGTGCTTTGCCCCCTGCTCCTCCTGGTGAAGCTCCACTCATGCTGGAGAAGCTAACGTTGTAATTGGGTCTGTTCTGTGGAGAGCTGTGGGGCATGGAAGGTCCTGGAGGTTTGGGCTGGGCCTGGGGCTGCCACCCGCCCCCTCCGCCAGGCTGCCAAGATGGGAAGCCTGTGCTGGGCTGCCAGCTGCCAGTAGTGGTGGTATGCTGGGGAGAGGGAGCAGGCCTCTGGGGGGAGCCCATTGGGGGAAAGCCTCCTCCTGTGCCTGTGGGAGTGGTGGGCTTACTGGAAAATCCTGAGCCACCTATATGAAAGGTTGAATGGGGAGATATGTATATCTTCATTTTCGCTACTTCAAAAAAGTTTTTTAACAAATGGACATGTTATCTTTGTCAGTTTGCATTAACCATTAAACAGAAAGCCTTATTAACACAGTGCATAGAAACTTGTTAAGACTGTGGCATTTCCATTGAGAAAATAAGGAAAACTGAAGGAATAACTAACAAAGTGCTACCTTTAACTATAGCCTGCAGAAGTAAACTGTCAAATCATTATTTAGGCAAAACCTGCTCTTCAAGAATGACACACTGATGAACATGAAGGTGAATGTTGCAAAATAAATTCTCCAAAATGGTAACTTTACAGGAGAAGGCAAAACATCTTAACATTTAATGTAAGTTAATGTAAAGAGATTTTATTCCAAGTGATTTTGGAGCTTTTCTATTGGTTCATTCATCAAGAAATTTCCACACAATGTAAAGCACTGCCGTGTTCAACTGATGCAGAATGAAAATCGAAAAATAGAGATACAGGTGCACTACTATCAGATATTAATTAGAAAATTTTAGAAAAGGAAAATTTCCTCTTACCTCCAAGACTGGCTCCTAAGTTGCCCAAGTCAGCAAATGGGTCCAGAGTGTTTGGTTTGGGCTGGTGGGTAGGAGTACTGTGAACAGAGCCAGTGGGACTTGTACCAGCTGACTTACTGCCCATACTGAAACCTCCACCTGCTAGTATGAAGGAACACATCAGTACTGAATGCCCATTCTCTCAGCATCATCAAAACAGCTCACAGGTTGTCAAAGTCAGCATTATTGTCATTTCTTATCATCACATATGTTGAAAAAAGAATGAAATGCAGTTTCTCCAGGAAACGGTGCTAACATTTAAATACAGAACGGCAGCAGACAACAGTGATGGACAGGACATGGAAAACACACATTAAATGTAAAATAAACAGAAAATATACAACTTGTTGTGAACCAGAAAAGCTGCAGCTTTGGCAGGGCCATAAAAATTTTGGTTAAACCCCTTACATGGCCAGGACAAGCTAGTGGTCCAAAATACTATTACAAATTACTATAATTTATTAATTACTCAGTCAGTTTGCATTGTAGTCTGTGTTACTGAATTATAAGCACTGGGATGTGCTGGGATGTGTCAACCATGCAGATTACAAATAATAACAACTTTTTAATTTTATTAAAATATATCTGAAAATGCAACAGCCTGTGTATGGGCACAGATTCCTCACTTTTACAATTAAATAAATAACATATAATTAATTAATGACATATTAGCTTCATATTAGTTAACAAATAATGCTACTAAATAATACAACTTAAGGTTAACAGCTAAATAATACGCCTGCATTTTACAGGGAAAGTTTACAGAAATATGAAATTCATAATCTTTTCCTTACCATAAATGCAGTCAATCAGTCAAGACATGTTTGGTTTCTGAAGTTTTCTTATGTTAAATCTACAATTCAAAAGTATCAAACAGTTGCACATGAATAAAATGTTACTTCTGCTGTTTTTCAGGTTACATTTGGCAAAAACTGCACTGATGTAACACATTTTATTCTTGTGCAACTGAATGACCCGTTTGAATCACATAAATAAAAAAAAATGCCCATAATTGTTTTGATTATATCATTTTACAGCTGATATTTTCATGGTTCAAGAAGCAGCCAGCAGGTGGCCCACTTTAGTTTCGGAGCTCAGTTTCACTTGCCTGGGGGAGCTGGTCTGTTCCAGTCCCATCCACCCATAGTGTTTTGCTGCTGAATGTTTACTGTGGGTGTAGTTGGAGGCCCGGGTGAGCTGCGGCCTGGGCAGGGGATTAGCACAGGTTAGCACTGACTACACTCCTTTAGCTCTTTCAGCCACGCAGGGTGCCAGACACCCAGCATAGCTCATGAGATCATTTTAGACTGAGAAAACAAAGTGGTCTCAAGTGGTCGCAGGTCAATTCAAGAGCACTTTGTGGTTTGCAGTTTGCCATTATGTAAAGAGTTTAAGCTTGGATAAGCTTTTCGAAGTGTAATGCCAAGCTTAACAGACCATCGTTTGAAACAAAAGCTAAGAGACCATTTTGTTAACACACTGCAGTGTTAGACAACAAATTCCCTCGTCACTCACAACCAGACCTTTTCATGCAATCTTGAGCCGAGGCCTTCAAGAAAAACACATATTAACACTTGCTTGCAACATCATTCACATCATCTGTACATTTTCAAACCAAAGGCACCGCCATCCAGGACAAGCTGAAGCCTTCAAAAACTACTAACACTCCCACTCTGTACATAGCAAACCAGTGCAAGCGACAGCTTGTCAGAGAGGCACAGTTAGGGCTGCACAATTAGAGATGTATTACAGTCTGTAGTCCTCATTACAAAACAGTTTGGTGGCTGTCATAGAAACAAGTTGCCCACACAAACACACTGCGGACACACGCTGGCAGCTCTGAGAGCAGCAGGCGTAGGCGCATGCCTTACCCATGCCCATGTTCTGCATAGTGGGAGACGGAGACCGTGCGGCATGCAGGAAGGGGTCCGGCTGCCCCACATTACCTGGACCCAGGAATGCCCCCATGAAGTCTTGAGGCTTTGGGGCAGGTGCAGCGGCCGTCGCTGACCCAAATGGGTCAAAAGCTGAAAGAAAGGACGCAAATGGCATTCAGTTAATGATAAAGAAGCTTTTAGTGAGCTTTAGCTTAAAGTTCTGAAATATTTACATTTATGGCATTTGGCAGATGCTCTTGTCCAGAGCAACTTACAATTTGTTCATTTATTTTACACAGGCAGGCAAAGGTAGTAGGGTTAGGAGTCTTGCCCAAAGAATTGGTATAGCGTATGGTGCTTGCCCAGCCAGGGGATCGAACCCCCTGTATGCCGGGTGGAGGGCAGAGGTGTTACCTACTACACTACACCACATGTAAACATGCAAATGCTTTGAGTTGCACAAAATCAATTTCATATATTGCTGCATTATGAAATGTGTCACTTTGAGATTCATAATGTCACACAAACGTGAGTTGTACTCTATGAGTTGTTGCAAGGAGTTCTTTAGTAGGTAGGGTTGCCAGATTTCAGCCATGGCAAAACCAGACAGGGGGCTGTGTGGGAGAGGGTGCTCAGCAAGCATCCAATATTTCATTATCACATCCCTCAATCTGTCTTTTCTGGCATGTTTTTGTGTTATAAAACATTTTATTGTCATTGTTTATTTAGTTTAGATTCAACATTTTTCTTTTGATTTTCTATAATGAACACTAGGGTGCTGTTACAATAAATTGTCCTACTATTCGTTCTGTCCTTGTGTAACACAAATAAATACATGGGGAAACAACCCTTTGTTTACTCTGTCTTCTGCAGGCTAACACATGCACAGAACAGATTAATATTTAATTGCTTTTTGAAAGTAGCTGTAAATGAGAAATAATATATCTCAATCTGCATTCTACTGTACTACATCTTACTGTACTAAAGTAATATGTTAAAATAGTACTGGTGGTGTACAAATTTGACGTGGTATTTAGTGTGGGATATGCAGTTTGGGACGTAGCCGCAGAACGCAGTTGCCTTCGACTCACCCTATTTGAGAGAGACTGCAATGGCAGAGCTAGAATGGCACTTTATCTACTTAAATATACGAAACACATTTGGAATGAAACATATGGAAACGCCTGGCCAGTGTATTGCAAGTGTACGGCAGTAGAAGTTGTAGCAGTTGTTAATATCTAACTATAGTACGCTTGTTAGTGGATTAACTTTGAACCAAACAGGAGCTTCTTCTGCCCAGACTACGGCTCTGTACTGACAAAGTAAAAATGAGTTTTTATTCCAACAATAAAAGTGTCATCAGTAGAGGAGTGGATGCTGCTTTACCTTTGATTTGGCAAAAAAAAAAAACAAATGAAAAAGAAAGTGGACTCTGCGGCCACTGAACGGATCTCGAAGGAACGATGGAAAGTTTCTCTTGTCCAAATGACAGGTAGGCGTTTCCATATGTTTCCAGCCTAAGAGTTGTTAAAGTAAGAGTTAAATCCAAGAGATATGGACAGGACACTTACTGTCTCCAGGTCGAGGTGATGGGCAGGGTGATGTAGAGGGGGCAGATCTCCTGGGTGTGGACTGGGCAGAGCCAGGGCCACTCGCAGACTGTGGAGGCGGAGCTCCAAACAGATCTCCCAGCAGGTCAGTGGTGGTGGTAGTGGTCGGGGGCTGTGGAGAAGCTGGAGGAGGCTGGACGTCACCTCCATCCAGACCCAGCAGGTCCACGTCCTCAGCAGGTGGCGGGGCAGGGGCAGCCTGAGCCTCTGCTTTCTTTGCCGCTTTGGCTTTCTCACTGCTAGCATTGCTCTGCTGGCTGGAAAGGGACAGCATCTCATCGTCTGAAGGCTCGCTCTCTTCATTTGGCCCCAAGCGGCCCCCAGGGCCCCCATGTGACTGGGAAGGATCTAAACAATGTACCGGGGAATAGATTAAATTTAACAGAGACTTCAAACTTTTGCATATGGCTGTAACCATATAGCTCAGTTCAATTTTCACATTCAGTATGCAAGTGTGGAATCAATCAAATTCTTTTGAAAACAGCCTAAAATGAAACTGTTTATGAGCACAACTACATTAAAACACTACATTACTAATGATCAAATTAAACCTCTTCAGTAACAATAAGTATTCACTATCCACTACCTACTCATCTATGAATTGTTTTCCACTAGGCACCTACACTAAGTCTTACCTTCCAGGTCCAAACCCTCCATTTCATCTTAAGCAAGAATAAAAATGGAATTTAGGAAATGCTTAACAGCACACAGAGAGATTCAATAGTGTCCTACAGAAAGACTTGTGTGATCATGAGTGCCAGTGTGTTTGTCAGTCAGTCATGATTGGAGGATGCAGAGAATCTGTTTGTGTGTGTGTGTGTGTGTGTGTGTGTGTGTGTGTGTGTGTTACCTGCGATTGCAAGTGCGTCCTTGTGTTCCTGGTGGCAGGAGAAGAGCACATTCGGGCTCAGGTCTTTGGTGGGGAACTGTTCCCATGGTGGGGTCAGATCCTTCTGCTTCTCTGTGTTCTCCACCTCAATGTCCAGCAGCACATGGAACAGCTGAGGATACTTCTCTGGAGAATCACACGCATCCAAGTCTGACCTGCACATAAACAATAGTTAATTTCTTTAGTTGAATCCATAAAAAAGCAACACTAGTAAGATCTAAAGTTAGAATGCACTTATAATCTGTATCTATATAATTAGGGAAACTTCATTATGTTTTATTAAACAATTCATTGCACTTCAGAATCACTGTTTTTGATTAATATAAAATTAGCTTTGTTTCAGTTACATAAAAAATGTTTCTGCAATGATACACTTTATATATAAACTATAAAACTTGATATGTTTCAACTAATTTTTAGGAAGCTGTAAAAAAAATCAAGAAATTAAAGAAGTGAAGTTTCAGATAATTAATTAACCAATTAGCATCCACCATTTATCATTTAATAACTTAAATTTTTGGGGCGTTCCCAAAAATATTGAACTCATAGTATTTCAATCTACACTGTATAAGTTATTGAATAAAATGTCAGCTATTATTAATATGACAAGTCATTCCAAACTTTTGAGCGGTAGTCTAGATTTTGCCATATGCATACACACAAATACTGAGTGAAATATGTTTAAGCTTTTAAGCTTCTTCTTAACATAACTTACATGACTTAAGACCTGCAAGGTACTTACTTCATAAACTTTAAGACTGTGGTGCCAGGGGCGATAAAGCCTGTATGGAACTGAATCTGGAATATCTGCGTGTTTGTCACCTGCAAACAGCACAGGCAGTTAATCAAACACTTTTTAACAGCCATAGTATTACTGTGCTGTATAGGGTCATTATGTTGCCAATACTGATTAGGCTTCAATTTGGCCAACACTGGCAGGGCAACAATTTCTCTGTAATACAGTATGACAGTATGAACTTAAAGGAGAACTCCTCTGATTTTTCAAAAGTTTGACATGGTTTAATAGTTAAGATTCATTCAGAGTCATTCAGAGTGGTTTGATGTGAAATTGTAGAGAGACTTACCAATTCATATTTCTACACAGTGGTAGTGAGAGGAACCAGGGGTTGCTATGTCTACAACACAAACATAGCCATTTTATTTACTATCCAACACCACTAGTGAACCTACACAAACCTACACGCGTCTTATAAGTTTTTATATGTAATGTTGATCATGGTTAAATAGTGCAAGATCTGAAAAAGCTTTCTGCATGTACCTCCCTGCCATATATGGATTTTGAAAAACAGTGGGAAACAGAGGCCAAAAGCTTCTCAGAACTATCCTAAACCCTGGTGGGATGTGGGGGAGGGTGTTGTTTTAGGCTTGCTTCACTTCTGTAATCTGTAATATTGTGATAAAGTGCTGTTTGACTAACAGAAAATAAAATCAAAAACTGAAAAAAAGAAAAAAAAGGACTATCCTGAAACAATATCTCATCAGGCAGCATATTCATAACCATTTAATGTAGCAGGTTTCTATGAGCCAGTTTTAAGAGACTCTTCAAAAATATCTGGTTCCCATCACCACTTCTGTGAACCATTCTGACTTGTTAAGTTTCACTAGAACAGAGCAATTTACTTCAAATCACACTGAATGACTTTGTTTACATCTTAATGATTAAGTTATACAGACCACAAAAAACAGAATTCTCCTTTATATCAGACTAAGACGTACATTAAAGTTAAACTAGCATAGAAAGAAACTCTTTCCATGACAACCAGATCCTTACCTTGGCCTGTAGTGCATGGGAGCGCATGTGATAGACTGAGATCACTACATCTCCTTGGACGCTCACTCCCAGAGAAAACAGCACCTTCCCCTCCTGCACTCTATACTCTCTATGGGGTGACAGAGGGAGAGGAGCATGTAAAGATGATTCACAGCCCATGTAAAATACTCTGAACATCACAGCCCTGTAACACTTTCACCACAGAAAGTAATACTGACACTTTTTTAATGTCATTGCAGCATTTGATTAAAGAATGAAACCACCAACATCTGAACACAGCATAACTGTTCTTGCCATAACATTAAAACCTGATAAATAAACAATTTTGTTTGGCTCCTTTTTTTCTGTTTCTATGGATACCACTGGATTCCACCATGTTTAGGTCTGCTGCAGGCAGCCACAGATATGCTGATATGATTTGAAAAAAAAACAAAACAAAATAGACACAAGGGTGATAGAAAACTCCTGTATTGATTTTAACAATATTACATTAGCATGATGTGCTGGTCCAGCATCTTAGTAGCACATTACATTAACTAACCTTGGGTCAGACTGGCAAACATCCGTTCTGTGAAACAAGCAGAGTTTCAGCAGCTAAACAGGCGATTAGCCTTTTTTGTAAAAGACAGAATGTGGCATCAAAATGAAGAAATAATGTTCTTAAACACTGATAAACAAGAGGGCTGTCACGGATGTCATGATTTTAAAAAAGGCTGGTAAACAATTCAGCTCTCAGGTATAGCCACTTATTTTGTGATGTTCTTGGTTTGTCCAGCTCATGGATACCTGATCTGACTCACCATCACGGTAATGCAAACCCAAACTACACCAGTGTCGTACTGTAAACTGTATGCATGACAAATGAATATCTGTGTTTCAATTTCAATATCTAAAAACATAAAAACCTCTCTCTTCCAGTATAGCTCTGTGCACAGTCACCTCTTTTTCCCAAAATATAAATAATGAATAAATAAGCAAACAGATTGCGAACAAGTATTTTATGAATGGAAAATGAAAATAAAAATACAATATATTGAATAAAAAATTAAAGAATAATAAAAAGCCATTGAGAGAGGCTAAAGAAATGTGTGAATATCTGTACATATGCAGATGAGAGCATCTATGCATATGCAGGTATGAGTAGACAAATACAATAAGACCTATAATATACAGAATATTATGGAATTAAAATCTGTACAGGTGATGTCCAGGATGAGAGCAGTCAGCTGTTATTTTGCTTCATCACCCTGCTGTTGTAGATGTCCTGAAGCATTGGCAGACTACATCCAGTGATCCTCTCTGCTGGTTAAATTTCTTCAGCTGTCTCAGGAAGAACATTTTCTGCTCTTCTCTCTTGGCAATGGAGAGTGTGTTCCTCTCCCAAGTCCCTGGATATGGTGGTGCCCAGGGATATAAATGACTCCACAGTGGTAACCACAGAACCACTGATGCTGAGGGGGGTAGGGAGGAGGGTTGCGCCTAAAGTCCACCACCATCTCTTAAGCATGTTGAGCAGCAGGTGGTTAATGCTGCATCAGGAGACCAGCTGCTCGACTTCCTTTCTGTAGACAGACTCATTCCTATTTGTTAGTCCACAGTGGAGTCTTCTCCAAACTTCAGGATCTTCCAGCTGGTTCCTTAGAGACAGAATCATTGGTGAAGAGACTGAAGAGAGGGGGTGAGAGCACACAACCGAGTGGTACTCCAGTACTGAGTGTCCGGAGGTCTGATGTGTGCTTTCCTAGCCGCATCTGCTGCCTCCTGTTTGTCAGGAAGTCCATGATCCACTGACAGATGGGATCTGGCACAGACAGCTGGGTCAGTTTGGTCTACAGCAGCTCTGGCACTGTGGTGTTGAATGCTGAGCTGAAGTCCACAAACAGAACTCTAGCGTAGGCTCCAGGACTGTCGAGATGCTGTGACATGAAGTACAGGGCCATGTTGACTGTGTCATCAACAGACCTGTTAGCTCTGTATGCGACCTGCAGGGAATCCAGCAGAGGGTTTGTAATGGCCTTCAGGTGGGCTAGAATCAGGCATTCAAAGATGTTCATGACTGCAGAGGTCAGGGCTCCAGTCAAGTTTATTTTTGGGGACTCGAATGATGGCAGATGTTTTGAAGCATGTGGGATCAGAGCAAAGATCCAGTGATTTGCTGAAGATGTTCATGAAAATTGGTGCATAATGGTCATAGCAGTGCTTTAGGATGGATGGAGAGACTCCATGGCCCCAGAGCTTTCCTCACCTTCTGTCTGCTAATTCTTATAAGTAATTTTGGACAATTTCTTTAAGTCCATTCATCATGAAAAAAAACACTGCAAAGAGGAAATGGAGTTTTCAAGTTCTGAAAAAAAGAAGAAACATCAAAAATGGAGATACAAGGTTTTTGCATGACTACTGGGCCTACCTCATCCTCTCGTACTCCTGCGCTGTGGAGAAGATTTTGGTCTCGCCGATCAGGACATCACAAAATGGTCGACAGCCACTGCGCTGTTTGTTGAAACATGGGATGGGGCTCATGGTGACAGCTTTGATGACCAGAGGTTTGGAGTGGGGCACTGTGGGTTTCTCTGACACCATGCTGCACACATAACCTACGTACCTGACCGCACACAACACATACAAGAATATTAGACTACCGGCAGTCTATATCACAGGAACTTCATCATAGTTGCTATCTTACATACACTGTCGCTGTCAGAACAAAACCTCATATCTCCAAAATGGTAACTTTACAAAAGAAGGAAAAAAAATCTTAACTTTAAATGGAGGCTAGTGGAACTAGAATTTTTTTAAGTGAATTTAGGGCATTTCTTTTTGTTGATTCATCGTGACATTGTAGCACACGTAAAGGCCATCAGGCATTTTTAAATTCTGTTAAAAAAGATTACAGAAAAAAATGGATATACAAGGTTTTGTTTCGACAACAGCAGTATATTTGTATGTTACACAGTGGCCCTAATGAGCTTCTACTAATGTTCTATGGTTATTCCAATAACTGCGTTATAGAAAAAACACACAGGACCCTTGTTTACTTATAGGAATGGTTCAGTGAAAAATAATTTAGCACAATACCTGCTTTCTAAACTGGCTGCCTGTTGCATTCAGCTACATGGTAAAGTTCTCTTTGCTTTTGTGTATATATATTTATTTTGCACATTGACTAATCTGACCAACCTTAATGAAGACCTGGATGCAGTTTGAGTGGGTTGAGAAAGGTTTTGGGCATGTATTTACAGAAAAGATTTGGATGACTATTTATTGTTTGACAGCAATGTCAGGCTCACAGCCCCAGCATTAATTTAAAGAAGCAAAATTCCATACTAAATAGTCTTGGCTGATGAACCACATCTGGAGTAAGTAAAAAATTGTCTAAATTAACTCTTTGTCCAGGCCATCAATTTCCTGTCCTAAACGTCTGTCCTTTAACCCTTTAATGCTGAGGCAAAAAAATGGCTAATGTTACATTTGCAGTTACATTAACTGCATATTAATGTACTTGTCTCTTTTGAAAGATGATCTCTCAGTGCTGTTGATGCATTTATTTTAATATGTAATGAAGATGATTTACCAAAGCTGACAAAGAAAATGTGTAGATTTTAGTTTTGTGTGTCACAAACTATCTTTTATAGGAAGAAAACATATAAACATTATACTTATGAATTCTGCCACATAGCTGCCTTTTACCACGAATCAATAATCGTATTCTGAATGTTGCGCTCGCTCAGAAACTATCACAACACATTCAACAATAAATGTAGCATCATGCTTGTTTTATATTTGTTTATTTTTAGGATCCCCATTAGCTGCTATTGGGATCCCCAGGATCCCCATTAGCTGCTATAGTGACAGAAAACACAGTAGTACACAAAAAGCTCCAGTTCCATGCTTTTTCATTTTACTGTTCAACATAAACAGACAAGTGATGCAAATACTCTGAGAGCAGATTTTATTGACTAAAAGAAGACAAAGCCAAAGTCACTGACTTTAATGCCACAGATATACTAGGTATGCGGTGCCGGCTCTACTTAATAAGCGACATAAGTAGCTGCTTGGGGCCCATTATGAAACATAAAGAGTCGCCAAAGAAGGAAAAGGAAACTATACTACCTAAATATACAGGAAGTAAATTATTTATAATGCTAAAAAGCAATGTTGTTGCCAAGGCCACAAGATTGTGGTTAGATCAAACTTAAAGCTTAAAGTGAGCTGAGGAAGCAAAGAATACTGCATCATGAGACAGACCCCTGGATCCAGACTGCTGAGAAGATTATCTGTAATTTAAATGGCAACTTATCACAACTACAAACAAGCAATCATCAGCAATACACAATTAGTTATAAATGTGTATCATTTAGACAGCTTGTGGTAATCATTGTTATTAGTTACCCTCTAATTTTACATTACAACAGCTAGCAAGTTGGAAGGCTCAAAAAATCCTGGTTAGGGCCCCTAATAGGCTAGAAGAAAGAGGATACCTATAACTGTCATGTAGTTTACAGCTGTATGTACCTCCTGTGTGAAGGCCACAGGCCGGAGCCTGGTCTCTTGGCGCTGAGTAGCTGCATGGCAGGCACGGGGTTGGCGAAGAGGTGGCAGAAGCAGAACATGGCACACACCAGCACACCTGATGGACCTCTGCCATCCTGAGAGACACACACAGCACAGACACAATCTGAAAAATCTGAACTTTAAGTCTGTAATTACTCAAGATGCAGCCCTGCAGATGGTGGCCAGTAGATCAGAACATGAGGAACCAAGACGATGCAATGCATCTTCTTACAAAAATTACATTAAAAATTAAAATTATATATTAATTAATCCCAAACAGTTGGTGTTTTGAAAGAAATAACTCTTTTTAATAAATCTTACATTTTATTTATTTTTTTTATGTTATGAAAAAAAGTTGTGCTAATTCTTTTGCATTGTTTTAAATGCAATTTTGTTAGTGCAGTTCCAGCTTCAAGCAGCTGGCAGTGATTGATGCTATCAGTTCACACAGGTTGCTTTTGTTTTCTGGGTTATGTCACATGTTCTATTTTCAGAACTCTCTGTTTTGGACTTTTGGGGGTGTTCTCTTACCGAGCAAGTGATCACACACACGTTCTTAGGGTTCTGCTTGAGCCAGTTGTGCATGTTCTTGCACACAGCAAACAGGTTGTGAAGGCTGGGGGCTTGTTTGGATGGCCAGTTGCATTCAGATACCTGGAGGAGGGATAGAGAGAAAAAAGAAACAGATAAAAGAAGAGGTTGAAAGCAAATGAGATTTGAAGGGTGTATAATGGTAGAAAATATACTGGAAGAAGTCACAGTAGTAGTTGTGGTAGCACAGTAGCTTTATAGTTCTAACATAACCTTAAACCAGGTTTTGCATCAAGCAAAAGAGAACTGAGCATCTTTTATTGCAGTAATAACATAAAATGAGCCATGTGAGTTAGAGACTAGAGAGCGTTTATAGAGTTAATATGTTGAGTCATTTAACCACAGCACAGGAAAAAGAGCCCATTCAGCTTTTACTGCAAGACAGTCTTTAAGGGTCTATAGGATTTCCTTAGCCACCAACACACAGGGCCCAGTTGCCAAACCATCATAATAATACTGCTACACACTAATAACACCATAACATAAAATGATACTAGGAGGGTATGAGAGTATAGTGGTGTTCACTCTGCCATCTAACCAGGATTCACTGCACTATGATGATCTGCTTTGTGGTCTTTGTCATGTCAGTCATCGCTCAGCGCGGTAGGGTGACAAAATAGGCACACTTTTCTAAAATCTCACAATATTGCTGAGTTTTCCTTTGATTGTATTGTTCCTTAAAAGAAAACTCTATTGTTTTTAACCTAACCTCTGTTGCTTCTGTAGTTTATGGTCCATTACCACGGATATTACTTTTTTCTACACTTCCATGTACTGCAATTCACTGTGAATTCAAAAAGATTTCTAAGTTAAGCTATAAATCCGTCTGATTCGTTTTACAGGAATAATTTCAAGAGAGAAGAATCTGCAGTAATATGTTACCAGTGTAGTAAATTGTGCAAGGCTTACAGAAAATCTTAGGGAAAGTGAAAGTAGCCAGAACTACTTGTTGGCTTTGTTGTTTCAGTGTCTTAAAGTTGGATAAATCTCATCCTAATTTCTATATTGTTAGAGTGTAACAGTTGTTTTTCAAATGCTTAAAAACTAATAACTGTTTGGCTTCTATTACAAGTGATAACTGAGGCAAAAAAATCTGTCCTTTCCTAAAAACAAAAAAGCACATAGGATTTATTGTCCATGGTAAGTGATAATGTGATTTGATGTGGCAGATGGAGATTTGGCTGAAAAACACATCACTTCCACAGATCTTCCTTCAATGTTTCCACATTTCAACAAGATATTCTTATCAATGTTTTTAAACAGTCTTTTAAACACAGATGCTTATCTTCCCAGATTCTGGACAGTATAAATCCATAGCAGTCTTCTGACCCTGTTGGAGAACTTGGCTCCACGATAGTTCCTCTGGGATAAGTTGAAAACAGTGTAGTGGTCGGCATGACGTGAGTCCAGGAAAGAGCGGATGTCCTCCACATGATTCCTATAGCCCAGCTCCACCGCCTCAGCAGGATATGACATCACTGTGTGGGGAATAGGGCAGAATTTTACAATCATCTTATCACATCTTGCACTGGTTTTAATAGTTTGTGGGCTACAAAACTAAACAGTCTCATATCTTACTGAGGTGACTCATATTAGTAACCTTCAATCAACTCTTTCTCTGGACAAGTTTGTCCATTTTACTTTCGACAGATGTGTAGATCTCACGCACTGGAGTTTTTGTTTCATTTGCATGTTTCCCAGCATTCTTTGCCAGACTGAACATCTATGTCATAATCTAATTGACACCCAAAGTGTATATATATGTGTGTGTTAACTAGAGGGTAATGTTATGCTTGTATGGCCTATTATTAAGTGCAATCTCTTCTACTGTACACATTTTTACCCATTAAATGGCCAATGTTTTATTACACACTTTAATAACTTAAGAATGGCACAGCCAGTTAGCACTGAACTCCCTGTAGTTACTAAATAATACGTCTTAGTATTTAATAAGCCTGGAATTGTAAGGAGTTAAGTAACCATAGATTAGGAAGATTGTACAAAAGGAATGGTTATTATTCTATAAATTATATAATTTATATATATAATTTAAATTATTGTGATATTCGCTAATATCAATTATTGGCCCAGGGCTAGTTTTAGTCCAGGGTCTCTATGCAGTACATATTTTTAATCTAAGACACCTGAGCTCTATGAAGACTATATGGTAGTAGTGTAATAGTATAATTGGGTTAGAATAGAATAGGGCAAAGTCAAAAACATACAGTCCCTGAGTCCCCTATGTGCACAAAGTTTAAACACAATCACACAGAAACGGAGTGATCAGCCTGCCCTCAGGCCCACTCAAGGGCAGTGTTTGCAGTAATAACATTTCAGAACTCCATAACTGAAGAGAGAAATTTAGAGATAAAAGAGAGATGTGCAGACAGTGTTTGTGGATCCACAAGTCTGCAGCAGATGTATAAATAAGGGATGTTTACTCACCTATGATACGTGAGGTGATGTAGGCAATGTCCAGCTCACCTTTTGTATAGCTAAAACACAAACAGCAGAAAGGCACATTGTCTTTACCATTAAAATGTTATGCTATGATTTTATACAGTGCAATATTATGCATATGCTGAAAGTGTTGCTTTTTGAGATATTTATGCCATTATCATGACATAATGAATGTTATCTATAACATGATGTTTGTTATGTCATGATAATGATATAAGTAACTCAAGATCTTGAGAAAACAAGGTTTGTTTTGCCATGATAACAACACAAATATAACGAGACCTTGACAAAACAGAAAACTAACTCTCTATCATGGAAAAAGGCCACGTAAAGACATGCAAATCTACGTCTTTTAGGACTTCCGAACAAAAGCCTCCAACACTGAAATATAAATTTAAATGATTAAATATCAAATCTATCAGTATTTAAATTGTCCACTCTTTACTTTTGAGCACCCTACTGCCACTTTGACTTTAACTTCTCATTCTTACAATCTAAATCCAACCAGTTACAGCTGTGTCCTCCCAACAAAAAAATATAAGTGAAAAAGCAGACATTTCCAAAACTGAAGTTGAAAAAATGGGACTCATAACAATCGTGCAAGACCTAAAAAACAGTACTTAAAGCTTGCAACTTTGAGAGAGAGAAGAAAATCAAGCTCCACTTCTGCTCCAGATCTGAAAAACCCACAAGTGTTTCTCTCCTGAGAAAGAGTCTGAAAGAATGTGTGAAGAAAATTTGCACTGGAACACCAGAACTGGAAATCTGAGATGTGGAGTAAGGTTTTAGGGCCTGAAGGGTCTAAATCTGTATTCTGGATTACTCGGATTGTGATAAGCGAAAAACATAACCAACTTCTAAGACTGAACTTTGGAGATGTGAAAAAATATCCCTGCAGATTTCCTGAAAAACTGAAAGCAAGATTTCTGAAAAGAATGAAAGCTGTAATCACAGGGGGAAACAGGTGGACACACTAATTACATTTAGTTGTTGAGTCTTCTGTGTAATGTTCTGTTAAATATATGTTTTCTGCTTTTTTCTAACACTGAAAAATGAGCAACTTGTACTTAAAGGCTATTTTGACTGGGAATGAAATACATGAAAAGACGTGACTTTTGCACAGCACTGTACATCAAGTTACACAAGTGGGAAAGATTACAATCACAAATGACCCAACATGTCTTGGGAAATAATGATGTAATCCAAGGTTACAGCCTAGTTACCAAAAATAACTTTGAGCAATCACGTCTATTTCAAAATACTTCATGTGTCTGTGCCAGGTGAACTGTTTTGACCTGGTTTACTTCACCACAAAATGACTTTATTCTTGGTCAGTCTAAAGCATACAAGTGTTTACATGCAGTGTACAATGTCAGTGAGAAATGACACATGCATGTTTGGCCTTGCTTAAGCAATTTTACTACAGCAAAGCAGCCTTTCTACAGCAGAGTTTCAACCATATTATTTTACCTAAAATGCTGGTGTTCTTGGTCAACAGAACGTCTTATGATGTGTACAAATGTACAGTAAATTGTACATAAAGTGTGTAAGACACTGCATATGCACTATTAGCCTTACTGAAGTGACGCTGTTCTATATTATGCAACAAGTCAGTCACCCAAGTAAGCTGTGTAAATCTCCAATCCTTTTAATGAGATAATACGGTAATGTCAACAGTCTGCTATTCTAGGCTTCTGTGAGACGTGAACAGCGCATGCAAGTTCATCCACACACACAGACAGACAAAAAACATACACAAACACACACATACATAGAGTACTGTACAAAGTCCAGAGACCAATTTCCAGTCAAAATAGCCACTAAGTAAATGTTACTTATTTGTCAATGTCAGAAAAACAGCAGAAAACATGTAATTAACAGACAAGTACACAAAAATCTCAAAAATATTTTTGTGTCCACCCTTTGCTTTCATTATAGTTTCCATTCTTGTTAGGAGACTTTCTTTCAGTTTTTCAGAGAAATCCACAGGGATAATTTTCCACCACTCCAGAAGTTGGTTGTATTTATTCCTTCTCACAATCAAAGTAATCCCAAACACATTCAGTGATGTTGAGGTCTGGAATGACCTGTCGATTGTTCCGAGAACGTCAGTAGCTTCTGCATCTGATTCTTTTCTGAGAAACGACTGAAACTATTGAAAGCTACACATCCTTTAGATCCAGTGAAGCGCTGAGTTGTCTTCTCACAGCGGAAGGATTTACAGAAACGCCTGTGGATTTTTTCAGATCTGAAGCAAGAGTGGAGCTTGATTTTCTCCTCTCTCTCAAAGATGAAAGCTTTAAGTACTGTTTGTCCGACAGTCACAGTTTTGGTGGTCTACCAGGCTTTGCATGATTGCTAGGAGTCTCATTTTCTCTGTATCTTTTAATTTTTTTAACTCCAATTTTGGAAACTCCTGTTTTTTCACTCATTTTTCTTTACATTTCCATACCTTATATATCTTACAACCTCCTCATAATGTCTTCTGAAAAATGAATAACTTGTACTTAATGGCTGTTTTAACTAGGAATTAATTTTCACAGTACTGTATGCACCATAAGAACTATATCATTTAAGAATTAGAATTCAAAGAGAAAGAAATTCAGACAGAAGGTTATATTAAAAAGCACAAAGCACATGGCTGCACAACAGTTTAGCAGCAAGACCTCCCATCTTAAGCTCTTTTCCTAAGCACCCCATGCTGTTTTTGTGAAAAAACGAGACCTAGCTGTGTCTGGGGCCATGCAGGGTCACCCGGCCAACAAGCCAAATTACGTCACAGCAGCTAAGAAGGCAATGCATGTCAAGGACTGAAAAAAACTGCACAACTATGTGAATTATAAGTATGATAATGTATTTCAAGTCCTAAACTGCAGTTAAACACAATTAGCTATCAAAAGCATAAAAACAGAATAAAATCAGTCAAGCAACCGAGCATTTAACTTGTACACTGACATGTTTCCGGTGATCCGTGACATGTACTGGTTCAAATCGTAACCCTGCCATAGAACTACACTGAACTACTGTACTTCAGGAAGCATGTCCACTCTTGATCAGATGCAGGTTGCTATGGAGCCATATTTTCTCTCAAGCTGCTTAATGTTGATATGTTGAATGGTACATTGTGTCAGTAGGCCTACTGAACGTGCACTGAGTGCTTCACAGTCGGTGAGGCTTACTGAAGACAATGGGTGGGGTAGGAGAGACTGCGGTCATATGGAAAACAGTTCTAGTTATATAGAGTGTAAAACCCAGCATACAAACCAACTTCCAGAGATCCACACAGAGAGAGTCTCTCTGCTGCTGTAGCAGTGGACCATGAGAATCAATTATTATAGAAACCTTTTCCCAGTGAGACACCTTTTGGCATGACACAGTTGCTTGTGAGGCTTCACACACCTCATAAATTAGCTCTGTGTTTTTTGCAAATAGCTCAAGTGATGCTACTTCAGTGTTGCAATGCTGACAGACCTCCTGAGGTCGAATGAAGATGCTTTCTGTGGTGGTTTTCTGCTATTTAAAGTGGATTTGAAAGCACTGGTAGTGATTTCATTTAATAGGCTTTATTTTGAAGGAGAAAAACAGCTACTGCTGAAAATGCTAACTGCTAGCCTCAGTCACAGTGAGCTGACGTCAATTTAAAATGAACTAGTCATGATAGTTCAACTTAAGACTCAGAACTACAAGACTTTAAACTAGAGTATGAACCATCTATTGCTAAGAACAGAAGAGAGATGGAAATAATGGAGTGATGAAGGGAAATCTGAATGGTCTTTTACTGTGAAGTAAACACACATAAATAGTTCATGAGATTTGGAAAGCAGCCACCTCTTGCATTCCCAGATGCTTTCCTGTTTCTGAAACTTGGGCTGCATTCCAAATCACAAACTCATGACACATTGGCCCCACTTAGGCAGGGCTTTTCTGTTATGCTAAGGCTAAGCAGCAGTTACAGCAGTTACATGTTAGGGATTTCCAGTGTTCCAAACAGTGATTTGGCTCTCAGAGAGTTCGTAATGATTGTATGAAGAAGATAAGATAAGACTGCACCATGGGAACACTTGTGTGTGCAGAGCTTTTTGTCTAGCCAGATGCCGAGGCCACAGAAACAAGCAAAGCGCTTCCCTTCTTTTATTGACTCTTTCTTTCTTTTCACAATCACTTTCATTTAAATCAATTAATCTCCTGTGACTTTACTTCTTTAATTATCAGACCCATTCCTGTCCCATTCGCATTTCCCCTCTCTGCCTAAACAAGGATTCTTGAATGGAAAAAAAAACATCTCATTTCCATCTATTTCAAACTACCACGCACTTGATGGGTTAAATGTGTTTCTACTTCAGTAAAATAATGACTAAACTAAAAGTACCTTTCCAATCTGAGAAGTACAAAAGCTTCACGTCGAAAAAAACTACTTAAAATGCACATATAATTGAAAAACAAATTTAGAAGGAATTTGGTGTAGTATATAAATATTGTCTTTCAAAGCATTCCACTCACTCCCAGTCCATACACTTCATATATGGAAACCATACTGCAAAACAATCTCTTTTAAATTCATTGTTCCTGTGACGTCATAAGAACCAACTCTTTCATACTATCCAGAAAAAAAGTCAAAATATTCAGCTTACAGCACTTTAGCTCCACCCATTTACACTGAAGTTCTAGGGAGTGTTTCTGCTCTGAGTGCTGAATGCTGAATGAGGCGCAATACAGAACAGCCAATCAGAACAGAGCTAATTTATCTTATATCAGTCTTAAAGGCACAGTAACAAAGACAGCCTGTTTAAGAAAAAAAGAGGGGTTGAACAATTGTCATGTAAAATGATTTATGAGCTGAATTATGAATTAAAGTATGATTCAAAATTTAGAAAGATTAATTATAATTGTAAAAACACCAATGTCATTTGTGGACATCAAGGGAAAAATAACAAAAGTAAATCCAGCTTCTATCAGCATAGAAACTGAAGTTAGGCGTTACTCCTCTCTTTTTGATGCACTCTTGACCCACATCTAGTTCATTATGCTCAAAAGTCAGATTGTGACTAATCACGAAGCAGTATAGATGCATAATAGAACGAAATTAAGCCCAAAAAATGGAGTTAGTAACTAAATGTTAATGAGTAAAAAGTGCTTGTAGACGTAAAATTATTGGCATTTGAAAACAGAAAAACAGGAAAGTACCACTCCAGTTCTGTGGTTCTGTTGGTGTATGGTCTGTGGTCAGAGACACTCTTGGCTGTTTATTTTTAGGTGGCGTACCACTCTCAGAGCAGTGACACTAACATGTAAAAACCCCAGCAACACCGCTGATACACCACCACAAACAGATGGGCTCATAGTCTGTAACTGTACACCTTTATAATGGACATATGAATTACAGTATTGTGAAAAAGTCATAGGCCACCTTTCATTTATGTAATTTCCAGTCAAAGTGGACATTACGACAAAATTCGACAGAAGCCTCAACAACTAAATCTAATATCACAGTTTTAAGGATTGGCTGTGTCCACTCTTTGCCTTTATAACAGCTTCCTTTCTTTTTTGAGAGACTTGCTATTATTTTCTAGAAGAAATCTACAAGATTTTTTTCCTTATGCCCAAAAGTCAATCTTAGAAGTTGGTTGCATTTTCTGCTTTTCACAGTCTTAGTAATACCAAACCCATTCAGTAACTGCACTCTTGGGTGGCCAGTTCATTTTTCTGATGACACCAGCAGCTGCAGTTTTCCAAACAAGAGTAGAGATTAAAGCTTAATGTTACTGTTTATCTGATGGTGTCAGTTTTTGTGGTCTACCAGGTCTTGCATAGTTGTTAAAAGTCCCATATTCTCTATAACCTTTATTAATTTTTTGAACTCCAGTTTTTTCATTTATTTTCTGTTCTCCTGAAAAATGTATTACTTGTACTCAATCTCCATTTTAAACAAATGAATGACAGTCTCTGACTTTTGCACACTATTGTAGGTATAACTCATTTTGTGGTCACTGGATGGAAGTACAAAAGCAAGTGTAAGGTAGGGGGTTTCTTATTAAGCAGACAGTGGGTGTATAGAGTATACATCATTATAATTCAATTAGTGATCTCAAGCATACTTGTAGTATCACACACATACATATACATTCGTAAGTGTCGTTCAATCGCACTTGTAAGACTTACGTGGCCACTTGATGCATAACCTTGGTTGACGTGTCTTTGATTGTGTCCTTCAGGTTGTCCTTGAAGTTGCTGAAGAACTTTCCGGCGCCTCCTTTAACCATGTCCAGCAGTCCGCCCCCATAATTCCCGTCCATATCTGGAGACGGAGGGCCTTCAAATGATCAGAATTTGATGTCTTACAACAACACACACAGGACGGCACACCACCAAAAGTGCACATGCTGAAACTAGGGCATACAAAATAAACCAAAACAATGCAACATGCAGAAATACACATGGCATGCATAAGCAGTAAAGCATGTACTTGAGGACTCTCACCTGTAATAATAATAATACTTAAAGCCTCTCAATGCTATGAAATGCAGTCAGATTTCTCCCTTACATAAACAGCTTGCTATATACTTAATGCAATTCAGTACTGTCAAGAAGCCCCTCTGGCTTTATGAACAAATAGTTAGCATAGGCCCTAAAAATCACACTCAACCTTCTTGATCAAATAAGCGACTCCACATAACAAAGACGTGTAATGAGTAGTAAATTAGCTCCACTTTGGCACCTCAGTTTTCACCCAATGTTGGACATCTTTTTAAGCTGCTGCTCACATTGCAGTATATGAGTGCTAAATTCTCTGTGTATTTGGACAAGCAGCCACCCACGATTGATTAGCTTTGCTGTGTATTGACAGGAAAAGAGGAACTATTATCCCCCCAATAAGCACGCATCACTAAATTCATAGTCTTGTTTAAAGGAGCATTCTGGCGTAAAACCGGCATTATATCATATTATGTAGCTCAGCATGGCATCCCCCAGCCTCACTGGTTTGATGGAATTCACAGTTTTGTATCATTTTTGGGTTTTCGTCCTTTACTTACTTACCTTTCTCACTACATTAACCCAGCATGCATTACACAAATACATCAAATTACTGAGACACTCCACCATAGTCGCAAAGTAATCCTGACTGCAAGTGTAGCCACTGATGCAGAAGCTAATAAAAACAATCAGGATGTTTGGCTTCCTAGCAGTACGTTAGCTATTTGGCTTCCTTTTGCCTTAGCCAGATAGCAGGAAAAAGTAAGTATCCACCCCAAAGTGCTTGCAGGTTTTCAAAAATTCCACCCACCAAAATACATCATTAGAAGGGTTTTTTTCTGGTCTTTAAACTAGAATGTCTCACTCTAGAGGCTGCTACAGTACAGTTGTGGGATGCAAGTAGGCATGTTTGCAACACACACTTCTCCTAATAAACAGTCATATGCAAATGTTTGACCCATGTTTTGATGATTTTCCTAAGTTAAAATAAGTCCGCTAAAGAGAACTTCTGCACATTTTGATACAAAATCACTGGCTACTTGAATATAATATACTATAAAAATCATCATATACTATATACATAATATACTATAAAAATATAAAATATATATAAAATATGACCTGTGTAAAAGTTACAGCACATTTTATATTTAACATTTTATTATTTTCCAATATATGACAAAAACTTACAAACGTTAACACCTTGATTAAAACTCAGTGTGTACGGGTATCTTTCACATGCACCCACGCTGGACCACTCCCAAACTATTAGCCTGACTCAGGCACCTCCCACTTAGCTCTGCAGACCTTGTCTGCACTTTCTTAACATACAACACACACACATATACACTCACTAGATATTTTATTAGAAAGCCCTACCTTGTAGCTCCCCCTTGCTGGTGTACAATTAGAGAATGTAGTCTAGCTGTTGCTGTACAATTATTGTTAGCCATCCTCTAGACCCTCATCACTGGTCAGTTGCTTGTGGCTGGATATTTTTGGGTGGTAGCCCACTCTCAACCTTGCAGGGACTCTTGACATGTGTAGAAACATCAATAACACCTCTGGACATGATCCGCTTGTGCTGGCACTTCCATGTCAGTGTCACTGCTGTGCTGAGGAATATCCACCACCCAAATAATTTCTGGTCATCACTGATCCTGTGGTCGGAAACTGACCAGTGACGAATGGAGTAGAAGGTGGCTGACAAATTGTGCATTGACACAGATACGATAACAGATACAGTGTGAAACTGTACACCCATAAAGTAGCCCTATAAGGTAGACAGATCACACAAAGTGACAGGTAACTGGAAGGTAGTGGCCAGTGAGCGTATATATAACATACTGACTGTACCAATCATTTTCTAAGCTGCACAGAGAGCGATCAACCACTGAAAGACTGTCATCCCTGTTTTTAGGCATTGAGTCATTGGAGAACAGGTCAGACCATTTAGCGATGATTCAGCGCTCTGTCACGCAGTTAACAGCATATTTAACTGCTGCTGGATCGATCTCTAATATATTATGGACAAAAATTACCTTCAAAGGAATGTATTTAGGAGTGCTTCTGCAGGCATGTGAAACTTTTTTATGTTCTTTAAAATGTCAGTAAATACTCATTAAATTCAGTGATTTTAAGAGCAGAATATAATTGCACAGGCATGAGAACCTCTAAAAAGTCTGTTTTATCTGTTTTAGTTGTTACAACAACTATAATTTTTGCTAGCATCTCTAAAGGTATCACTGTATAGTGTTAACATAAAGCTAACTGAGGTGTACTTTAACTTCTCCACACTGGATTTAGTACCACTTTTGGCAGCTCTACGTAAAAACAAGGACATTTGAACATACCATGCTGGTAAGACATACGTGTAATATACTCTTTACTTAATTTAACTTAAGTTTTTTAGTGAATTCTTCAGAAATTATTTTAGCTTAAAGCCTTATTCTCAATGTTAATGAAGGAGACTGTTAGCCTCCTGGCATACTGAGCTAATCATCCGCAAAGTAGTTAACCTAAAGGACATTCTCACACAGTGTATGTTCAGTATGATTTCACGTAATTTACTTCATATATATGCAGTTTGTCACTGCAAAAACATGTAGGTTAAGTGCATTTATGCATTCCTTGCATTTCAAGAGTTGTTTCCAAATGCTGGCCAACTGTCTTTACTTCACTATGTATATTGCTGTATCATTAGCAACCTAGCTCTCTATATACACTCACCAAGCACTTTATAAGGAACTTTATTAGTCTCAGTCTCAATCTGTCCATTTTATCAGCTCTGCTTACCATTTAGGTGCAATTTATAGTTCTACAATTACAGACTGCAGTCCAGCTGTTTCTCTGCATACTTTGTTGTACCTTTTACCCTGTTCTTCAATGGTCAGGACCCCCACAGGACCACCACAGGCCAGGTATTATTTGAGTGGTGGATTGTTCTCAGCACTGCACTGACAATGACGTGGTGGTGGTGTGTTAGTGTGAGTTGTGCTGGTATGACTGGATCAGACACAGCAGCGCTGCTGGAGTTTTTAAACACTGTGTCCACTCACTGTCCACTCTATTGGACACTCCTACCTTGTTGGTCCTCCTTGTTACTTACAAGTCAGAGACTGTAGCTCATCTGTTGCTGCACAGTTTGTGCTGGTCATTCTCTAGTCCTTCATCGGTGGTCACAGGACAAAACACTGCTGGCTCGATGTATTTGGTTGGTGGACTGTTCTCAGCCCAGTAGTGACACTAAGTTGTGTAAAAACTCCAGCAGCACTGCTGTGTCTGATCCACTCGTACCAGCACAACACACACTAATACACCATCTCCATGTCAGTGTCACTGCAGTGCTGAGAAAGACTCACCACCCAAATAATGATGGCTCTGTGGTGGTCCTGTGGGGGTCCTGACCATTGAAGAACAGGGTGAAAGCGTGATAATAAAGTATGCAGGAAAACAGATGGACTACAGTCTGTAATTGTACATATACTAAGTGCTCCTACATGGTAAGTGGATCTGATAAAACAGATAATGAGTGTATATACAAGGTGATGTTCCTAATAAAGTGCTCATTGTGTGTTTAATTATACGTAGGACCTAACATAATTTCTCTGGAGAAGCATGAAGGGCTTGGAACCAGGAACAGCCCTTCTCTTCACACAGTACTGCTTTAAACATGGTTTCTTAATAGGGAAAGCCATTTTAACCATTTTTGCTATTTGCATCTCTTAAATCGCACAGACACAGATTGAGCCTAGGCCTACACTAAATGTGAATTTTAAGTGGTGAAAATCCATTAGAATTGTTGATGGGTCAACAATTAGGCTCAATCCATGACTGCGAAACCAGCCCATAATGTTCAAATATCCCACTGTGAACAAATTCTATAGATATAGATAGACAGAAAGACTTTATTGACAATTTCTGTAAATTTACCTTATATATGCACAGATAGACCCCAGATGGTAGTTTCAGCCCCTGCACTTTTGCCTTTACCCCTCTTGTGCAGTACCACTCTAACCTATCACGCATGCATGCATCACTACAGTGCTGGACGTTCTGCTGATAAAGCACTGATAACCTCTGTAAGAAATCATTACATTGCACAAAGTGGTTATTTTTAACAACAACCAAACAAACATCAGTAGAAGCCTAGAAGTAGAAGTAGAAGTAGAAGTCAGCTTTTGTGACTGTAAAAATCAGGGATTAGTGCAAGACTCTGTGGAGCAATGAGATTCCCAATTGTTACAGAATATATTTGTGTAATATATAATGCTGGGTATCATAGTCAGATACATAACATGACAAATAACAATAAATGCTAGTTTTAGGCCAGAATGCTCCTTTAATAAGAGTTGTAACTCTGCACTTTATAGCAATTAGATCGCTTTGGGCATCTAATACAGCATATCGAAGCAACAAAGAAAAATATGGAAAAATATGGCCAATAAATGTATGGCAGATCTAGAACAGGGGTCACCACACCAGTTTTATCCACAAGGCCAGTGTGGCTGCAGGTTTTCAATCCAGTCAAGCCGAATGGAACCTGAATGAAACCAGCAGCCATACTGGCCCTTTGTGGATAAGATTGGTGACATTTAGGAGCGAATCAACAGTAAAACCACATTTTCAGCAAATCATCAAAGGTCTACTCATTTAAGAAATCTGCTGATTTATCTTCTCACAACATACAGTGCATCTCTATAATGCAGCCAATACAAAATGACACATGCAAAAAATTCAATCCATTGTCTTTTATATTGAGTGTGTGGCAAGAAGCAGCACAAAGTTTTTACTTGCTTTTTGCCATTTGCCACTATAGTAACGAATAAAAAGTAGTGGGTTTAACGGGGCATGATGATTGGATAGTGGAGCAAAAATAACACCCTGACGCCAGGCCTGAAATTACCATGTAAGGTCACAACAGGTATAATAATACAAGTTTACTCATATTTGTTAGAAGCAGAGCCCAGACTGCAGTGGATGACCTGTCCTCTTTTTTCCAGCTTGAACACACACACACACACACACACAGCATTTACTGCCTCTCACTTTGAAGAGCAGGAGTCATTAGACTCATCAGGCTACACTTCTGCATAATCCTGCATCTGGGAATGTTTCTAATACCCATTGGGACTCTGCTCCAAATATTCACATGGCCGTATACTGAAAATAACTTCTCAACAACACACTATGCTGACAAAAGCCTAAACAAGGCTATAATTGCAGATAAAATGAACTTTCCCCAGATTAGTTTTGCTCTATAAAGGACTGGTAGGTTCATTGGAGAGCAGAATATATTACAATGCAGCAACATAATGCACGAGCAGACTTTTAAAATGGTAGCAATAGACTTTCAGATGAATAGTTGTGTTGTGCCAAGTAGAACATCAATACATGCCGTTGCAGGACGACTGAAAAACAATCAAAATGTTGTGCAAGTCCATGAAGGAATGGATAACTGATCATGATATTGCAGCAAAGGAAAGAATGGGTGGACCAAAGATTCCTACTGATATGAAGACATACATATTAAGGGGTGTTCCTGTCACTTGAAGCTATCTGTTCTGAATTGTAAAATATATCATAAACACCCATGGGTGCTCCCACAGGGAGTAGCAAATAGCAGTGACATAAATGTCCATGGGAGCGCAGTACCAACTGACCTATTCATGCTAAGCCTACAAATGCATTCTTTTGCAACAACTGTTGAGAGGTTGAACAAGCTGTATAGAATGCTGGTAAAAATCCCATTTAACGTAATGAGAAATTGTAGTGCGCAATTTGTCAAAATGCAGAAATTTAAAGTGTGTTAATTTATTATATAATTTGAAAAAAAGATATTTATTCTGTATGCGTTTGACAGGTCACACTGTCACATTACTTATTTCCCCACTGGATTTTTGCCAACATTCGACCTCACAAAAGTTGCTAAGAACTGCATTTGTGGGTGGAGCCATAGACCACCAAATGAAATGGCAATAAGACTTGCTTTGAGTCAAGCATGCAAAACTGCCTCTAAATAAATGGAAAACCATCCTATGGAGTGACCATATGCACTCTTTCAATTAGTTTGACAGGTGTGGGTATGACAAATGCCTTGAGAATGATTGCTACCAGAGGGTGTACATCCCAAGTATAGAATTTGGAGGTGGTGGTGTGCTGGTGTGGGCATGTTTGAGCTGAATGACATCTCGAATTTTGATAGTGGACTATGTATTCTACTCAAAGCATACACTAGACATGAACGGTTTGAGTAGAACTATTTAATTGGCCTGCCTTAAGCCCAGTTAGAACCCAAACTGAGCATCTTTGATACAAATTGGTAGCTAGAATCCTTTAGAGATTATCATCCTATCATCATGTTACCAGAAACTTGTAGAGATCCTTCCACAATGCCTTAACAAGATTGACATACATAATATAATACAATACAACATAATACAATACAGTAAATAATATAATACAATGTATTGTATTATGGAAAAGATCTACTACATGTGTTTTAACACTACTGGTAACTTATCAGTGTATCTGGATTATTATCAAGTTTTACGTATTCTAGAATTTTGTTCTCTTTAATCGTCATGAAGCATTAAAAACATGATCCAACACAGCAGTTTCAGAGCCCAGTGAACAGGTTTATATATATCATTACATTCTGAATCTATCTGGAAAATAGTTATATGTCAATGAGTGTTTATAAACATTCATAAAAAGACTATTTTAGATGTCATTCTTAACTGTGACTTTGATTGGAGGATTTAAACTAGCATTAGTTACTATACATTTTGTAGCATGTTACTTGGTGGCTTTATAAACAGGAATGCAGGCCTCAGCAAAAACATTGCAGAGACAAATTGAAAAATCTTTGAACTGTGGGAGAAAAATAAAAATTAACTCACAAAACAAAACACTTCTTTACCTGGAACAGACAGTTTTGCATTATCACTTGTCTCATGAGTCCTTTTTCAGAGAAACTGATTTTATGGTGCTCTCTGTCTATTTATTGAGGAAAACAAATACTTCTCTATCCTAAAGTGGCCTAGTCCCATGACCACAATTTCCAGCTTGGCCCCCTACGTTGTGTTATATGAATATATTCCTCTACAGTGCTTTCAAGACAAGAAATTACACAATAATGATGGAACCTGAGTGAAATGGCCTTTTAAACGATTGACCCTGTTAAACTCTAAAGACCTGTCAGCAGGTCCAGACTCCTTATTCATAACTACATACCTTACATTGCTACAGTAACTACAGTTATATTACATTTAATGATGTCCTTACATTGTACACTGTAAAAATGCAAATTTTACAAATTTAAATCATGGTCTGTTTTATATTTTACAGCTAAAAAGTACATAAAGTGTAAATCCATAGTACCGTATAGTATGATATAACAGACATATAATCAGAATTACAACAAAATATAGTAATTGACCTGAAAATCAGTTCAGGTGCCAGATCTTTACTGTGCACTTCTACAGGTAATGTCTAGTCACTGGTGTAAACTATCATGGTGCAACCAGGCCACGTACAACAGTGTCTGATACCCACTGAGCCTGGGTAGACACTCTACAGATATTCTAACTTCAGCACAATCCAACCTACTGATTGATTGACTTACACCTCTTATATATAGACCACCAAAACTAAACAAACTTACTTCATGGCATGCTACACCCATCCGTGGCCAGGAGTCTGAGAGAGCAGA